GTACATTTTGCTACAAATGTTTTCACTATTGTATCATCATACATTGACTGGGAACCAAAACCTTACCTCTTGTTTTGGATTAGAGAGGACACATTTCTTTCTGGTCACTCTTGTTTTTACTTGCGCGTTTATTCGGTCGACAGAGCATACTTTCACTTTACGCCGCTTTTTTGCTGTGTTGTGCTCCGTGGAAGCCAAAACCGTGTCCGTCCCAAGTTCTGCGTTTGGAGAGGTCCGCTTTGGTATTCGGGGAGTGGGAGAATTATCTTTGGGATTCTTGCAAGTCTCAGATTCTCCTTTCGGTAACTTTGCATCATCGTCGATAATTCGCATAATCTCATCGCGAATTTGGTTGGAGGACGATTTCGAGAAAATGTCTTTGTTTGAAGAAGAAGCGGAGACTGTTCTTGATTTGGCCGCGCTGCTTTTTGACGATCCACGAGAAGCAGCGTCTGTGGGTTTTACCACGTCAGTCGTTTTCTTCCTCCGCTGAGAAAAGAAATCTGTTACCAGAGCCTGAGACATGATTCAAAAACACTGTGAAAACGTCGATCTTCTATCGCTGACTGAAAAAATGCCTCGCTCCGTTTGTAGTCACGGGAAAAACAACTTTCCCGCGGAACTGAATAAACCACGCCTATTCCTGCCGACGGCAGGAAACCACGCCTATTTATGCCGACGGTCGACTTCGTGTATGGCTTGTTTATAACAGCCCTCCAATATGGCCGCCGGTAGTGCATTGTGGGTAATTGCTAAAAGGACGGAGCCCTCTATACGGAAGTATCAGAAAAACTTTTTGTGTATTTTTTCGGGATAATTTTTCTGGAAATAAAAAACCCAGAACAAATATACTTTACAAGGTATTCGTTGTCAGCGATACATAAACTTTACCGATTCTCTTTCGAGTCACTGGTGGATTTTTGAACCAGAGAAGTTTACTACTGCGCATGCGTTCAGTATCCAATATGGCTGCGCCCTACTGCAAGGTGGTGTTTTGAATTTACGAATGGAATTCGTCTGTCTCGGTTCTAGATGACGGAAATTTGCATTATCGCCATAAATTATCATCATCTCCGGTAATCTATTTCGGCGATTTGAACGTTCGTTTTTATCGCCAGATTGCTTGTTTATCTGTAGTTTGTACTCTGTTCACTTACACAGCCCCACGCCATTCTCTATTTCGGTCTCATCTTAATTTGCAAATTGTTACCTGGCGTAATTCCACCAACTGCAAAGAATGCGCAGAATGATGATGGTAGTGACTGTTTCTGATGTGAAATAGAGACATTATTCATTCAATCATGTTTTTCAGAAGAGCTATTCACCTCCTATGTATAGAAAAGGAGTCTGCCTTAAACTTGCTCACGAGTGGTTTTACAAATTATTCAAGTTTAATTAAATATAGTAGGTTTCATAATCACTGCGTCAGAACCACAAGGATTTTTCACACTGCCAGCAGGCTGAACTTGGCCAAGTTATTATCCGTGGATGAATTATTCTCCAGGAGGTCCCTGCTGGACTACCTGAAAAAGATTGACTCAGACTATAGAGATTTGTTGAGCGCGGTCAACTGCGATGATCAGGAGCAGAGCAGCGCTGAGGAGTTGAGGGGCAAGAGGACCAAAGTGTCCCTCCTGGCTCCCCTTATTCAAACCATCAGGGAGTTGGACGCCAAGCAGAAGGAGATGATCGAGATGGAGGCACTTCTCAAGGGTAAAATCGACTCCTGAGGACGTAATGAAGCCATTGTATAATTATGGGTGTTCCAACAGAGGAAGATCTACGAGAAATTGCTGAGCAGGAGAAGGAAGGCTATTTGCAAAACATCCATGATCTGAGGCAGAAGGTAGTTCTGTGTTTTTGTTTTTTTTGTTTTTTTTTATCATATATTTTTTTCCTGATAATTTAGCTTTTTTTGTTGTTAATTTGTAACTTCACAGGCCACATTGTAGTTTTTTTTCTCAGAAGGCCGATACGATTGTGAAAGCATGAGAATATTTTAGCATCCTAACATATTCTTCAACTATTGTTGAACAATTATGGAAGAATCATGGAGGTTGATGGACATGATTTGCTTCCATGTCCCACACTAAATTATTTGGAGGACCAGATCTGACCCCGGGGACTTGAGTTTGACACCTGTGATATATGATGCTTGGTACTTTGCAAATTTTCATTTTCTGTGTCACCGAGTGTTCTGGAACGGATCCCCTGTGCTAAGTGGGGGACTACTGTTTATTCTGAGTGCAGTTTGATTGTATTTTAATCCAATTTTCCCCCACCATGTCAGATATTAGATCTTTTGATCACAGAGGAGGAGGATGATCTGAGTGAACTTGTGCTGGAAGTGACAGCAGGAGTTGGCGGACAGGAAGCCATGCTGTTCACTGCTGAGGTTGGCCTTCATTTTAAACATTTATAGTGGATAAAATACCTGTGCTAAGTACAGTGTGGCAAGCTGCGCATTTGGTACCTGGGCCTTCGGTAGGGACTTAACTGGTGGAAAAATGCTGATGTCGTCGAGAGCCAGTTTTCTTGAAATCTGATTTGTTGAAAAAAAAAAATGTGCCTTTCCGAATATATTGGAAGTTATATAACCCAGCATGACCGATTCTGAATGCCCTGGAGAGATTAGATTGACATGGCAACACTGACTGTCATCTGATTGGACAAACAAAAAATATACCGTTTTATGGAATGAAAAGATTACAGACACCCACCACTGGCTAAGTATGATGAGTTATGGATATCAACTTTCACAGTAGTTAACTAGGTTCTGTTTTTTCCCCTTTTGAAGCTGTTTGACATGTATGAGGGCTTCGCTCTGCACAACGGCTGGTCCTTTGACGTTCTGGAACACATGAACAGTGACATAGGTCAGTCAGTGGACACATAAATGAAAGAAAGTTCACAAAATACTTGCTCGTTGTATTCTTTTCCTGTACCCAGGTGGACTGCGTCATGCCTCGGCGAGCATCAGCGGCTATCAGAGCTACAAGAGGATGAAGTTTGAAGGCGGCGTTCACCGTGTCCAACGGGTTCCCAAGACTGAAAAGCAGGGCCGCATGCACACCAGCACCATGACTGTGGCCGTGCTGCCCCAACCCACTGAGGTAGAAGCCTGTTATGTGTCAGCTGTAAAACAGAAGGTTTATGGTCTTTATTTTTGTGTCAGAATACACATATTTTAGGTGAAAAACAAAAATATCAGACGCATTACATCCTTTCATGAAAACTGACCCTTTTGTTGTGGTCCTCTTTAGATCACGTTCACAATCAACCCGAAGGACCTCAAGATCGAAACGAAGCGGGCAAGTGGCGCGGGCGGTCAACACGTCAACACCACAGATAGCGCTGTCAGAATAGTGCACCTGCCCACTGGTACAAACGCACCCTGTCGCTTTGTCCCTTGACAAGATTTGGATGATCCTATCCCAACTGTCGTGCTTCTTTGTGTGTCCAAGGTGTTGTAGCGGAGTGCCAGCAGGAGCGGTCTCAGATAAAGAACAAGGAGAAGGCCATGAAAGTTCTGCGGGCAAAACTTTACAGCATGAAGGTGGAGGAGGAGACCAGCAAGCGCTACAATCAGCGCAAAGTGCAGGTACATACTGTCTGAAGTATGCTTGTCTTTGGGCTGTAAAACAAACTAAAGCTGGATTCTTTCGGATTTCCACTGCAAACTTCAGCCATGTATTGGTCAATATCGCTGCTGTGGCAATGTAATTTCCCTCACAGGACTTAAAAGTGGCATGGAGAGGCACAGTCACAGATTTAATTTCAGATATTTATTGAACAGGACTAACAATCACAAACACAATGCAACACATATACTCATACTATACAATGAAACTAATATACTCTATCGATTCAAAATACATGAAGTGAAATATTTCATGACATATTTGTATAATTTTGATGATTCTAGTTTGCAGCAAAGGAAAATTCCAAATTCCCTATCGTGAGAAATATACGTTACATGAGAACCAATCAAAATGACTTTTAGTGTACAGTATAAATACATTTATAATTTACTTTCTGAAACACTTTTTCCTGCATTAAATTAACCAGACTTTTTTTTTACTGAAGCAAATGAACTTTTATACCATATTCTTATTTATTCTCTCATATTCTCCATGTTTTTGCCACAGATCGGCACCAAAGGCAGGTCCGAGAAAATCCGCACGTACAACTACGCCCAGGATCGCATCACTGATCACCGGATCGCTATGACGCTGCACGACGTCAAGGCGTTCCTGCTGGGCGAGGATCTGCTGGATAAGATGAACTCTTCCTTGCAAGAATTCTCCAACCAAGAGGAGCTCATCGAACTCCTGGAACAAAATGGCTACAAGGAAGGATGATCATAAATTTGGACCAAGTGTCTATATATCAAATCAGTGCCTGAAATTCACTTTTAAGGCTGTGGGTGTTAATAGTGTGCTCCTCCACTCATCTGTGAACATTTTTCATGGGATTTTGGTGTTGGATTGCATTCAGCTACTGTGATCAGGACACGAAAGTCAGCCACAGTGCTAAGATGATATGTCAGCATATTGATCATTTGCAACACCATTTCGTTATGGAAATTGCTGAAAAAAAGGACTGAATTGAAAACAAAAAAAATGGTTTCGGATGTAAAAATATTGGAGATGTCTACTTTGTGCAAAAGTTTTTTGTTTTTATTTTATGTCGTCCACATTTGGCAGCTGCTAAACCAAGTAAGGACATAAACATAAACGCAAAAAAAAAAAACCGTCAGCGATAAGTAAAACAGCGTCTGCCGATGGTTTTGCTCGTGGAATAGCTGCCATGTAGCATACAGCTGCTTTAGCTTATCAACTACATTGCCCAGAAATCTCCGCAAACTCGCAAGGGCGACTAATCGAGTGCAGGGTTTGTCGATCGATTGTGCGCTTGCCTTCTCGCCCACTCTGACTCACAGTCCAATTTTTTCCCTTCCCAATAACTCCTTCCTTCCTGTTTCGTTCCCTGCCCCCCCTCCCGGTGTGCTAGCTGGATGATCTTTGGCTTCGGCGCGACATTACGTCATTTTACGAATCGTTTTATAAGTCGTTTTTTGCCTTGCGAAAACTCATTTTCTCCGGAGCCAAAGGACGTTTAAAGGCAACCTTTTTTGTCACCGACCTGACGTCATCAGGGCCGTTTTCTTTCTTGTGGTTTTCATTTCACGAGCTCCGGAGCTGACAAAAGCCTGGCTGTCAGATGTAGGGCGCCACGCAACCGATGAAGCCTTTCCTCCTTCCGACCGTCTTTGGTGAAAGTGTTCAAGTTTGACGGGGGAGGTTTAACGGTTATTTTGGAATTCTCTCACGCTGGGAGGAAGTAGGAAGGAACCGGGGGCGAGCGGAGGAGGAGGTTGAGGACCCCGCCGAAGAAACACCAACACCGGGTTGCCTGGAGGACAGCACTATTTTTGTGTGATGGCAAACGAGCCGATCATTCTTAATGTCTACGATATGGTAAGGAAACTTATTCGTCCGCTTGAAATGATCAAGTACGTGTGTCTGTGTGTGTGTGTGTGTGTATATATCTTAATCCACTGTCTGACAATACTTTCATGTGGGTTCCTTAATCCTTCAAAATCGTAAGTGCATTTTTCATGTTTTACGCCACTTCTTTTGGCGTTAAAATAAACTACTATCAGTCATAATTTCCAAGTACCACTGTTATGTTGTTTTACTTGTTCGAGAGTCCCGCATCACCAGTCAAGGCCCAATAAGGACATTGTTCTGCAGACACCTAGCTGTGCAAACGTGGGAGATACGCAAGCCGATGTCGGCACTGTTTCAAACTACCCAGTGGACGTGAAACAACACGTATAAATGATTTGCAGTCGTCCTGTTTTGTTTTGACATTCCCTCATGACTCTTCAAAGACCGTTACCTGCTTGTTTCTGCCAGAACCTGTGCAAAGTGGTGGAAACACTGAATAGTTCTTGGTACTGTTTCAAGCTTCTTCCTGAACATGGTCCCTGAGGCAATATTGACACTTATGGGATGTACAATTTCACAGTTTTATCACAGGGGGATATGTACTATACTTGCGTGAAAATATACGATATTGAGAAACAACGGCTGGGCAAGTCCTGATACAAGGTATCATATCGGACTGATATCAGCCTTATTTTAGGGTATCGAGTACTGCCGATACCAACCATTAATACTTAAGACAAAAAATAAATCTGACATCGAGGCAGTCCTCCTCGGCAGTGTTTGGCACTATAGTACTGCTGATTGACACATGAGTGAATCATCTGCGTCAGAGAGAAAGGTCTTTGTTCACAATCTTTTGTCATTATGTTAAATGAGAAGTTATGTCAAAAGTCCTTTAGGTATCGGTACTCAGGACTGTATTGACGAGTAATCAGTGTGAAAACTCGTACGAGTATCGGTCTGAAAAAAAGTGGTATCGAACATCCCCATGAGAAGCCATACAAAGTTTGACCCATCCCACATGGTTTAAAAACATTGAAACTTATTAAAACGCATGTCAAAACATATATCGTAAAACCCCCTACACAGGTTTTAACTGAAATCGGCACAGCTGTTTTGCTAATCATAAACCTTCAATAAACAACTAATTTAAGGCACGCAGCAACAACACATACAAATGGCATACAACCATACTTAGAAGCATAATATTCTTTCTGCTATGTGAGAATAATGACAATTACTATGCTGTATTTTATACCGGTTAGTCTGGATTCCGAATCAAGAAGGATTAAAAACATGAAAATGTATTAATCGGGCTTTCAATATACAGGGGACCACGAGTGCATTTCCTCATAGCAGAAGCATCTTTAGTGGAAGAGTTGTCATCATTCAAAGGAGATGGGTGGTGAGTCACACCCCCAAATATTGATGACTCATTGATTGACACACTGATGGACTTTTCCACAGAAAGCGGGGCTCTTTGTGTCGGGAGGCCTCATTATGGCAAGCCTTTTCAGCATTAATGCCATCTCCTTGTAATATCTTCAAAACCTGTGTACTGTAAATAAATGCTCAAACAACTTTGAAAAGAAGAGAATTTTGAGTGGACTTTCTTGTACTATTTCCATTTTACTTGCCGCTGTTTACAATTGAATGATATTTGATGATATCATCACTATTTTATCCCTGGAAGACACTTCAGCTGAGACAGCGAACCCTGTAGCTCACTGCGGTGCTTCCAGAGAACACATCTCTTAAAAATGGCTCATTCATCTTTCCATTTGAGGATCAATAGTGTCACATGACTTACAGGATCATCACACCAAGAGACGAGTCCAGCATAAAGCGTATCCATCCCCAGCCGGGCTAAGCGCATTTCCTGTTTGGGTCTGAGTGCTTTAGGGCCAGCGTCTTCAAGCCAAGCGACATATTTTATATTGCACTAATCTCACAGCACAAAAATCTTACAGTACTTAATTACACCATCTTTGGAAGTATTTTTCCACACTCTTCAAATTCACAAATGTTTTGCGTCCACATTTTAAACGTCACCATTTAAGTCTCACATTCCAAATATTTATTTTTGAAGGTAAAATGAGTCCCATAAAAACGTTTTCTGTCAACTTCAGCTAACGTCCGCGTCACTGGGTTTTGATATCAAGTTTTAAGTGTTTGAATGCAATTATTTTGCGATTTATGCCTGTAAAAAGGTTGTTAAAAACCTCTGAGAGGTTTGAATGCAATCTCTTTGCGATTTATGCCTGTAAAAACGTTGTTAAAAACCTCTTGAGAGACACACATTGTGCCATGCAGGCAGCAGGTTTTAACAAGCTCGGAGATAAGAGTCTTATGTCACCACAAGTGCGAGGAGGATACAAGCAGCATTTCTTTTGTCGGCACCGTGCATCGCCTGGGCTACAAATGTGCGTCCAACAGATGGCTGTGTCTTAAAATTCTTGACAATTAAAGTGTGGCATAAGCATATAAGCAGCTGTCATGCATTTAGACATGGAAATAATTTCCTCATTATGTCTCCCCCGCTCCCCTTATGAAAAAGACATCACGTTGTGTTTTTAAAATTTGTCATTCAAAGTATTTTCACATGACCACAGCTGACTGAAATCATGTGAATATTCTCAAGACTGTAAAAACTTAAAAGTTGGATGAAAAAACGAATTTGGTGAGCATCTGGATACTCACAAAATCACTTTTGTTGATAATTGTCCCTTGGTGATCAATTAACATTTCTGATTGACAAGATACAATGCAAACCAATGCAAATTTGTGATTTGGCATTTGGCTAACTTGCGTTCACAGATCTTGTTATTTGTTGACAATCTTGTCTCGTCAGTTTTTCTGCTCAGGCCAAAGCAATAAAGGTACTACTTTAATGCCACATGGTGGAATATGGATTTTGCTATTCGGTTGACTTATTGACTGTATTTTTCCTAAACATTTCTTATTTTGTGCAAAAGGCAGAATGTGAGTTCGAGTTAACTCTAAAACCGTTTGTGTAACGTGATAGCTCGCGGGCATATTCGTTTGCGCTTTTGTGATGTTGCGCCAGTTTGTGCGAGCATCTTATTTTGGCTCCTATGCTGGTGAATACTTCTGAGGAGCCTCATGAATAATTTGCTGAATACAGTCATTAATGTAACAATAGTTAATGATTGTGTAAATATTTGGTGTTGATACTTGATGATCCTCACAGTTTTCAGTGCTTTGCCTTTAGCTTGTGCCTCAATAAAATAAATACAAGTCGCTTTTATTCGGCCAACTTTGACAACTTTATTGACATTGGTTCAAAATGCATGATCGCCATTTATCATTAATCAATTTCAACTATCTTCTCTTCATTACCGTACTTGATTTTTAATTTGTTTTTTTTTGTAGTAAAGAAATATGTTGGTTACGTTATTTGGATTCAGAAGAGGGTCAATATATTAGAAACCTCTCATTGTTATACACCACGGAATCCCCAAAATAAGGCGAGTATCAAAATGAAAAGATAAGCAGACCCAATTACCCACAACATGACAAGGATTTGGTCTGAACTGTGTTTTTTAGTGTTATTAGGCCAACATTGACAACTTTATTGTCATTGGTGCAAAATGCATGATCGCCATTTATCATTAATCAATTTCAACTATCTTCTCTTCATTACTTGATTTTTAATTTGTTTTTTTTTGTAGTAATTAAAGAAATATGTTTGTTACGTTATTTGGATTCAGAAGAGGGTCAATATATTAGAAACCTCTCATTGTTATACACCACGGAATCCCCAAAATAAGGCGAGTATCAAAATGAAAAGATAAGCAGACCCAATTACCCACAACATGACAAGGATTTGGTCTGAACTGTGTTTTTTAGTATTGCTGTTTTTGCTTCCTCAGTATTGGATCAACGAATTTACCAGCACGCTTGGCATCGGCGTCTTCCACTCAGGGATCGAGATCTACGGCCGAGGTAAGCTCATCTCATGGCGCCGTGTCTCGCCACGGAAAGCCTTTCGAAATGGTGCTGTGTGTCTGTCTGTGTGTTTTTGTCCGTGTGTGTGTGTCTTTATAGAGTATGTGCGTGTGTCTTTATAGAATTTGCCTATGGGGGTCACCCATACCCCTTCTCAGGGATCTTTGAGATCACGCCAGGTGACGCCACGGAGCTGGGCGACACCTTTAAATTCAAGTAAGTCTGTTGAAAAATCTTTGCTCATTCTCCCGATCAGCCCACATTGTGCGTGCGTGTGTGTCCCATTCCTTCTGCTCTAATTGATGTGCCCTGTGGTGTTTCACGGACAGGCACGCATCTTTGCTGCCTACCGAGTCACAGTAATCAAATAAATACAGTGGGACTGACACTTCCAGGGTTAAATATGCCACTAAAACCCTCATCAAATTTCAGAGTTTTAACCCCAGCATTCCTCATTTTAGTTAAAACTCGCGTCAGAGGATAAATAACAATACTTTTTGTCACTGTTGGACATCTCCAAAAATCCCTCCTTTTCAAGAACTCAATACAACTCATTTGTTACGCTGTCATTGATTGCAATGACATTTACCAGCCAGTTCACGTATCAAAGTGAGTTAATAGACTTGCTCGATGGGTTAATAATAATCATTTTTACAAGGTAGTGTTGCTTTGTGTAGAAGTTTTAACCCCAGCATTCCTCATGAGCTTTTGGTTAAAACTCGCATCAGAGGATAAATAACAATACTTTTTGTCACTGTCGGACATCTCCAAAAATCCCTCCTTTTCAAGAACTCAATACAACTCATTTGTTACGCTGTCATTGATTGCCAATGACATTTACCAGCCAGTTCACGTATCAAAGTGAGTTCATAGACTTGCTCGATGGGTTAATAATAATCATTTTTACAAGGTAGTGTTGCTTTGTGTAGCAATATGAAATTGACCATATTCGGACATAAAATATTTCTATCCAACACGGATGAAATTTAGCTGTTTGTGGGGCAATTGAATTCAATTTTATTTTAGATACTTATTTCCTCATTTAGAATTAAACATAGAAGAAATGATATTGTTTCTTCTTTGATGATGACGTGTGTGTGTGTGTGTGTGTGTGTGCAGAGAAGCCATCGTCCTGGGCAGCACCGACTTCACCGAGGACGACGTGGAGCGCATCATGGAGGAAATGGGCAAGGAGTACAAAGGCAACTCTTACCACCTCATGCACAAGAACTGCAACCACTTCTCCTCGGCGTTTTCAGAGGTACGGTAGCTACACACCTTCACACACACACAACACATACACGCGCATGCAAATACTATGGTAGGTGGATTTCTTTGCATTCCATGTAATTAATCCTCGACGGGAAAACAAACTGAAAGCACCACTTGTTTTGGGTAATTCAGTGAGATTGATCATAATCCCTATTTCATTTAAATCCAATTTTCCTGTCGGAAATCATGAAATTATGGTCGAACATATGAGCCCCCCTGCTAGACTGTGGTTCTTCGTTTACCCCTGTGCTAAATCGACCATATTTAAGTGAGGGAGGGCAGCGGCACTGATGTCTGAGATGAAATCTCACGAGATGCCTTCAGGGACGCAATGGAGGTTGAACTCCAAAGTGCATTATCCATCCATTTTCGGCTGTTGAATGCATGCAAATTGTAAATTGTGGTGCTTTTAAAGAATATTGGGGGAAAAAAAGGCAAATGATTGCCTCACTTCTCCAATACAGCAACTGAAGTGTCCGCTCACTCGCACTGTGTGTGTGCGCACGTGAGGTCTAAATCGGCTTATCCTGCTCTTACTAATGAGCAGGGAGTCTTATGGTTAGTCCCGACGCTGAGAGGGGGATTAAAATGTAACGATACAAGTCCAGGCATGCACAGCCAGCTGGCACACACATACACGGCCGTACACGCTTGGGCGCTTCCGTTGTCATAATGGAGAAGTGAGGCAAGCGTTGTACTTTTTTTTTTTCTCCAATATTCTTTGAAAGCGCTGTGATGTACACTAAGTGGATGTGAATGTCCTCTTGTCTTATCTGTCAGTGGCTTAACATAAAAACAATCAATTAACAAACATACACACGAACGACTTACTGAAACACAATGCAAAATAGAGCATAGATGGGCTAACAAAATTAGCATCGATCTTGTGGTCATTGTAAACCTCAATTCATATTTCAATGTAAAAGTTAGCAATACATGCATACAAAACATATAACAATACCCACAGGGGTGTATTCTTTATCCTCTGTAAAGAAATATCAATTGCAGCTTAGTTATGTTTTCGTTAGTTTTATCATTCAAACTTCACCTAGTTTGTCTGTTCGTGTTATTCTGCCCCCTGGTGGCCAAGGTGCACACACCAGAAACAGAAACTTAATGCCTGTACAAGTGGAATGTTTAATTATTCACATTTTATTTTCATGACCGTTTTTATTCAGTCTAATACTGTAGAATATCCATTTTTTTAACAGGGAACACCGTCTTATTCTTGTTCCGCCCTACTCAGTTGCTCTTCTTCTTCATCCTCCTTGTTTTTCCAGATCCTGTGTGGCCGCGAGATCCCGCGCTGGGTGAACCGCCTGGCCTATTTCAGCTCGTGCGTGCCCTTCCTGCAGAGCTGCCTGCCCAAAGAGTGGCTGACGCCAGCCGCCCTGCAGTCCAGCGTCACCCAAGAGCTCCAGGCCAGCAGCGAGCCGGAAGAAGCCGAGGACGCCGCGGCCTGCTCGTCGCTGGCGGCCGTGGCGCCGTCCTCATCTTTGTCGTCCAACCGCCACCAGCCACGGCGGTAAAAAAAAAAAAACAGTGCCGACCAAAAGACATTTCACTATGACGTAACACGTACTTCTGGGTGGCAGAAACTTTTGCATTCTCAGATGGCACCGCTAGTAATGTTTACTCTATTGCCTGTCAGAAGGTTCGGCCATGGTTTCAGTTCAGGTCCACGGTCGTCAATCATTTTTCTGCCACCCTGGCGCCGGTGTTTACAAACCTGTAATGGTCGATTTCCCGTTTTTGATGTGAATGTCCTCTTGTCTTATCTGTGAGTGGCTTAACATAAAAACAATCAATTCACAAACATAGACACGAACGACTGACTGAAACACAATGCAAAAAAGAGCATAGATGGGCTAACAAAACTAGCATCGATCTTGTGGTCATTGTAAACCTCAATTCTAACTCTCACCAGCCGTATAAGGACCCAACCAACAAGGTTGAATGGTGCTTCTACCTGTTGCAGGTAATCCGAGCCAAACGTCCCCATGTGGACCTTGTCACTTTTTTTTTTTTGATGAAAAGTTAACAATACATACATACAAAACATACAATACCCACAGGTGTGTATTCTTTATCCTCTGCATAGAAATATGAATTGCAGCTTAGTTATTTTCTTTTGTTTTATCATTCAAACTTCACCTAGTATGTCTGTTCGTGTTATTCAGCCCCCTGGTGGCCAAGGTGCACACACCAGAAACAGAAACTTAATGCCTGTACAAGTGGAATGTTTAATTATTCACATTCTATTTTCATGACCCTTTTTTATTCAGTCGAATACTGTAGAATATTTCCGTGTCCATTTTTTTTAACGGGGAACACCGTCTTATCCGCCGTACTCAGTTGCTCTTCTTCTTCATCCTCCTTGTTTTTCCAGATCCTGTGTGGCCGCGAGATCCCGCGCTGGGTGAACCGCCTGGCCTATTTCAGCTCGTGCGTGCCCTTCCTGCAGAGCTGCCTGCCCAAAGAGTGGCTGACGCCAGCCGCCCTGCAGTCCAGCGTCACCCAAGAGCTCCAGGCCAGCAGCGAGCCGGAAGAAGCCGAGGACGCCGCGGCCTGCTCGTCGCTGGCGGCCGTGGCGCCGTCCTCATCTTTGTCGTCCAACCGCCACCAGCCACGGCGGTAAAAAAAAAAAAACAGGGCCGACCAAAAGACATTTCACTATGACGTAACACGTACTTCTGGGTGGCAGAAACTTTTGCATTCTCCGATGGCACCGCTAGAAATGTTTACTCTATTGCCTGTCAAGGTTCGGCCATGGTTTCAGTTCAGGTCCACGGTAGTCAATCATTTTTCTGCCACTCTGGCGCCTGTGTTTACAAACCTGTAATGGTCGATTTCCCGTTTTAACTCTCACCAGCCGTATAAGGACCCAACCAACAAGGTTGAATGGTGCTTCTACCTGTTGCAGGTAATCCGAGCCAAACGTCCCCATGTGGACCTTGTCACTTTTTTTTTTTAAGACCTTTAACCTTCCACGGGTCTGTTTTTTTTCATCATTTCGAAGCTGAAGGAGAATGACTCGTTTCTTAGTAGCAACACCCTGCCGTGGTGCCTTTGAGCTGGCTCACCAGGTGGAGCGACCCAATTTTTGTGATTTTTCATTTTAATTTTTATTTTTTTTAAACACAGCACAGCGACGCCTCCTGATGTTTTATTAGCATCTGATTTTAAGTGTCGGACTTAAAATGAGTGGGACTGCGCAGCCTTTTCCTTTACGACACAAGTTTCTTTTGGATTTCTCGTGTTTTGCTTTGATAAACTCAGGACCTCGAAAAGGCTTTGGTCATTGTTTTCAAACAAAAAAACACAAATCAGGTTAGTTGCTTTTTAGTGCAGTTGTCACTACGACACCAGGAACACATGGCGGCAGTTTTTGTATGAAAATTAAACGCAACTTTTTTTGGACAAAACAAGGTGTGTTACATATGGAATGCATTTCAGGAGTTATTTCATATCCTCCAAAGGTGGCACTAGTAGTCCAGAAACGACTGATGACACTCATTCCACTCGTGCACTGTGAAACAAAGGCTTGGTTAGATTCTGCGGCTGCTTTGCTAATTCAGGTCCAAAAGTGTCTTGAATCTGCAGAGTATGATGACATTTCAAGACCATCAACAATGATAGCATGAGTAATTTGCTCAGAAGGTTGTGCAGTTAATCCCCAAAGTACTCATATCCTAGCCAAATTTGAATAAGGTGGAAATGAAAATAATTGTGCTGAGTGTAGCAAAGCAAGCCCCTGAACTTCACAAAGCCTCATTCATGTATCACAGTAAGTACAGAGTTCTTGAGATGTAGCTTCCTATGTTCTGGGACCACTTTGCTACATCTGGCACAGGATGTCTTGAATCTGCTTTCAAATTAGCATGTTGAAAATTCAAATTAAAAATGTGCTTACGTTGGTGCAGCAAAGTAGATCCAGAATATAAACAACCGCCGATGAATCACAGTCGACATTTAAAAATAAGAATTAAAAATTTGTAAAATCCGGGAGGAGTCTGCTTATGTTGTGGGGATGCTTTGCTACATCCGGCACAGGATGTTTTGAATCGGGAGGGCATGAAATTTTACACTATCCAGACATAAAATTGATTGCCTCAATTTTTTTGTCCAGTTAAACCCCCAAATTCTCATATTCTGGATACATTTTGAACTGACCCCTCCTCCCCCCAACAACAACAACAAAAAAAGACTCGTGTGGACAGCTGTTCTGGGGATGCTTTGCTAAATCCAGCATGGGGCGTCACAAAGACAAAGCGTCTGAACCTGGGCGGCACAATTCGCAACTGAATGCCTTCATAACCACCTAGTCAAAGATTTGAACTTTGAAGACAACAATGCTGGATGCAGTCAGCAGCCTTCTTGTTAACTTCCGGGGTTGCTTTGCTACATGAAATCATCCTGATATTACCTCCAAAATCTCAAGACCACCCAAGTATAACTTCATGTCTTTTGAGACCTTGTGTACCCTCTCGCTAAGACGCCCATTCATCAAATACCAATTCAGTGAATTGCAAAATCTGAAATGTTTATTTTTACATTTGAGATCTCCCTCAGGCTTAACATTGATTCAATATATATTTTTTATTCACTGTGAAGGATTTACAAACACATTTACAATGAGACGCAATTGGCTGGCAACCAGTTCAGGGTGTACCCCACCGACTAACCAAAGACAAGGCTCCAGCACGCCCGTGAGAGTAAGTGTTTGGATAATGGATGGTACATAATCTTTACGTCAACTTTATGTCCATCAACTGGATAAATGAAATGCAAAAATTAAGCAAAATACACATATGCAGTTTTGTAGCTGTCAGCGCCCTCCATTGGCTGGTATATGTACTGTAGCATATATCTGGGTAGCTTTTACATTCCTTCCCATTTCCGGCCTACTCTCTGGGCACAAACTTTAATTTGATTGGCTTGACTGGCTGAAACTTCCAGTTAAACTCCAGAGGAATCTAAAAGAGGAAGAGATGGAGGTTAGGGGCAAGGAAAGGCAACGTGATTGACATGACTGTTTGTGACTTACCATGGTGTCTTTGCATGTCTCCACGTTGTAGCATTGCAGCAGGCGGACCAGGACCATTTTTACGGTGAGCAGAGCGTAACGCATCCCCACGCAGTTGCGAGGGCCCAGGCCAAAGGGCATGTAGGCGTAGGGGTGCACCTCTTCACCGCTGTCTTTGCTGAACCTGCGGTGTCACGCCGAAAGGGAGATGGTGGTTGTCATTCCAATGACAAAAAAAAAAAAAGTGGATGTGGCTAAAATAATTGAAGAGCTCGAATCCCCTCATCAAGTGCTTTAATTTGAGGTATGACATGATATGGTTTGTTTCAAACTGGAGACTTTTATAGTTAATTTTGACCAGTGGCAATATCTCGATAAGAGAAATATTTTTGTTCTTCATGAAATTATATGAGGTGATACTGCTAAAGTAATTAGAGGTATGCAAATCCCTCATCAGGCCATTGAGGTATGACAATATAACTTGCATTTTTTTTTGTCTTATAAAATATTACGCATCTGGAAATGTGTAAAGATCTAAAGCCGGTGAGTATACCTCTCTGGTCGGAAGGTATTTGGGTCCTTCCAATAGCGGGGGTCCTTGTGGACCACCGTCACGGGAACGGTGACCAGGGTCCCCTCTGGGATGGTGAGACCGCCAAGCTCGATGGTCTTTTTGCACATGCGCTCGAGCCGAGGCGCCGGCGGAATGATGCGCAGTGACTCGTTGACCACGTTGTCCAGGTACTCCATACCTTGCAGTGTCTCGTATGAAATGGAACCCTTGGGGAGGTAAAACAGACACCTGTCATGATTTGATGAGTCGGGTTCTCAGTTAATACATCCCTAAGTACACACCAGAGTAGCCTGTTTGGACACTTTTCTCATGACATCTGTACATCATTTTTGCAGGGGGGGGCGCTATAAGCGCATTCAAAGCCTCTAAAAAGACTAGATAATGAGTTTATGATGGGGGGGGGGAGTTAACAATGTAGCAATATGTCAATAAGATTATAAAGTTGTAGTAAAATGTTAGCATTTCTAGAAAGCTTGTAAAAATTTGAATGCCATGTAGTTCACAAAAAAAAAAATTGTGGAAAAAGTCCCCAAATTATTAAATTAAAAATCATTCAGCTATGAGAAACCAGAACAGTCTTAAAGTTGTGAGAATAAGAAGTTGTACAATTGTGAGATAAAGTTATAATGTTACATTAAAACAAAGTTGCAGAGTTTTTCAACCAAATTCAACTCAACAACTCCCAATGGAACTAAACTCAATAAGAGTCAATGAAACTCAAACTAAACCAAACTCAACAAAGCTAAATTCAATGAAATTAAGTTACATAAACTCACCTCAACAAAATTAAATCCAATGATACTAAACGCAACAAAACTAAATTCAATAAAACCAAACTAAGCTCAATGAAACACCACAAAATTAAACCAAGCGCAACCAAACAAAACTAAATTCAACTCAACCCAATGGAACTAAATGCAACAAAATGAAATTCAAACAAATCTAATCCAAACGACGGAACTTAAACCAAACTCAACAAAATTAAACTCAATTCAGCAGCAAAACGCAACGCGACAAAACTATACTAAACTCAACAAAACGTAAAAATAAATAAATAAATAAAAATCACACACACAACACAGCACTAATTAGTCGACCGTACATCTTTGGGAACGTTGGCGTCAATCTCCTCTTGCAGGGTCCTCATGGCCTCCGGGTGGGTGACGATGTTGTACAGGATGTACGTTAGAGTGGTGGCGGTGGTCTCAAAACCCCCAAAGATGAAAATGAAAGCTTGCGAGAGGATCTCCTTTTCTGTCAACCCTACAACCACAAGAGGAAACAAAATTCACATGTGCTCGTCCATTTGAACTTATTCAAATCACAAATGTCAACTGTAGTGATTTTTTTTTTTTTTGATGACTCGTACCTTTACTCGGCTGCTCGTGTTCACTCTTTATATCCGACTCTGGTATTTCGTGCTGGGTCAGCACCTGTAGGAAGTCTGCGTGACTCTGTAAACACATCAAGTATATCAAGAATCGATCATGATTTCTTAATATCTCTCTGGCAAATGGAGTCTCGCTGTTTATTGCTACATCATTTGCTATCAAGCAGGTCAAAAGTTCAATTTAATCATTTATATTATATGACCCAGCCTCTGTGTAGAATTCAGCTACTTTCTCCACAGCACCACCAATGATCCGACATAATCCGGCACGTTTTAATTTTGAGTTTTAATGGCATGATAACAAAGCAGTTCAACACAAAAAAGTGAATAAAGCTCAAAATGTCGCTGGAAAAAAAGTTTGCTTTAAGAAAAAAAAATTGAAACGAATTTTAAAGTCACTCAGATAAAGTCGTATGACCAGAGGAAAAAAAAAAGATTTTCAATAAAGTCGTAAAATTGGGAGAACATTTTCTTAATCTTAGGAGAAAACGTTTTTTTTTCCTCCCTGGAAGGAGTTTTATAGTCACTATTGGTAATGCTATGAGAATAAAATCAGAACAGTACAAGAATAACGTTAAAAGAAAGTTCTGTGCTGTAAATATGACTTGAAAGTTACGATGAAAAAGTGGCAGCGTTACGGGAAAAGCATTAGAAAACAAATTACCGTATTTTCCGCGGTATAAGGCGCACCTTCAATGAATGGCCTATTTTAAAACTTTTCATATATGGGGCGCACGGCATTATAAGGTGCATAGAATAGACGCTACAGATGGAGCTAAAGGGAATACAATACAATACAGCTGTATTTATATAGAGCCTTCACAACCGCTGCAGCTGTAACAAAGCGCTTTACAGAACATTTAAAATACTATCAGAATATTGATCCATATATATATATATATATATATATATATAAGGTGCATCGGATTATAAGGCGCACTGTCGGCTTTTGAGAAAATCGAATGCTTTCAGGTGCGCCTTATAGTGCGGAAAATACGGTACATGGATAATGTTGTGATGTTATGACCAAAAAAAGATGTTGGAAGTATGCGTGAATGCTGGGAAATTTACCGACTGCTCTGTGTGATGCTGGTCTTTAAATTTCTTTATGATGTTGAAGAAAAAATCGGTGCTGGCTTTGGGCATCAAGTCCACCTTTAACAACTTGCACAGCTTAGCCATAGCAGGGAAAAGCACTGCAAAAAAAAGGAGAGCATGATAAATATTTGATCTGATACTGGAAAGTTATTCACTGGCATTCTGTCCTCTACATACGCAGTAACATTATCGGCCACAATCTGAAGTTCATAATCTTCTTGAGGTGAGCAACGAGGGGGTCATCCGGACGGTTGATGGAGTCGGTGTCAACGCTAAAGGACGCGCTGGTCACCACGTCCAAACTGTATGGCCCAAAGAATCTGCAACACACAGACGTCTCCATTGCTTTGGTGATCAAGTTTTATATTTGTAAAGCGAAGGAAACTCCTGAAAAGAGAATGAGGTCAAGTTGGTGAACTGATGGATCTTTGATATACACACTGTTTGATGTCCACGGGTTGGTTCAGGTCCTTTGTGGCCAGACTCTCCACCAGTCGTTCCGTCGATCGAGTGACCAGGGGGAACACCTTCAAAAAAAACAAATCATCCTGATTCATTACAATTATAGTGGTTTTTTTTTTTTGCTCATGCTTCATTCCTGCAGTTTTACAAGTTTAGTTTTCCATCTTGACAGCTTTATTCTCATCATCTTACTCTAACTTGTTTTCTCGAAACATGACACAAATTGTAACACGCCCCCCTTGTGACGATTCAACTTCTCTTAGTGTTGGAACTTTTAGTCGCCGAACTTTTGAGGGTTTTTTTTCTTGTCACTGAGTGACAAAAAATTCTCGCAACTTTATGTCGTCTTTCTTGTATTATTGTGGCTCTACTGTCACAACACTACGACTCTTTTCCGTCATGGCACAACGTTTAGGCTTGCAACTTGAATTTAGAAACATATTATTTGTTGATTTATTTATTTTGGAAGGGTAGTTCTATGACTAACATAAAACTATAAATTTACTCCCATGATTGGAATGAAACTTGACATTGTCTTTCTTGTAACATTCTGGCGATATTCTCGTAACTTCCGAATCACAACCTTTCTGCTGTAATATATTCGACTTTCAGTCTCCTAATTTTATCATTTGTTTTCATAACTTTATGATGTAATTCACATACATTAATTTGAGAATTTACTATTTGTAACACCACGGCTTCACTCCGTTTGCATTTTTCTTTACAATATTACAACTTTTCGGATCGTAACTTCACACATGAACAACTTTATTCTCATAGATGTACTTATTCTATTTAAGTTTAATGAAGGAAGAAAAATTCTCGTAGCTGCACAATTATTTTTGTAACCAAACAGCTTAATTCTTGTAACTTGAGAAATGTACCCCTGTAACTTAACGTTGTTCTTCAAAACAATGCAAAAACTAATTGTAAAGTATGAAGTAAGGTTTTGTGTCATGTACAGAAGCTTCCGTACCTGCTTCAGCCTTCCGCTCGTGAAGCATGGTGACACCGAGCTGCGTATCCTTTTCCATCTTTCATCTTTCACAGCTGTGATGGCGTCAGCCAATGCTCCAAACGCAAGTGTGTCCTGTGAAGGTGAAAAGTAACAAGGTCAAAATTATGCACACGCACTTTTTGAACATTAACACTGAGATTTAAAAAAAAAAAAAGGAAAAAAATCCTTAAGTATTGATTTAGCTAAAATGTATTGCACACAAAATTCAATAAACATCATACCGAAATTAACAACACAAAACAGATTTAATGAAACTTTAAACACCCAATTTCAATGAAGTTGGGAAATTGTGTTATATATAAATGAAACCAGACTGGGCAAAGGACCAGTACTGGGTTGTGGACCACTCATCTATTGGCCTAAAAAAAATACAACAGCAAAAGAACGACACAAAACAGTGCGTGAACCAGGGTGTGGTGCCCATAGGTATTTTCTGGACTTTCCCGAACCCACACCCAACACCCCGCCACCTCAACACCCACACCCCATCGCTCCACGCCACTTTCCCAGGTGACGCATACAAATCTGCTCATGTCAGCAGTAGTTTTTTTTTCGTCCAGGCGTGTCTCACCCTGCGGTTGGTGAACACAGTGTAGCAATCCTTCACCATCACCGCTTTGATGATCTCGGGATCCGTCACCAACAACACCGGAGTTCTGCCGTCAAACAACCTGCATGGAAACATGGTCAACTAAGTTTTACACTAATCGTAAACATGATATTGCCATTGTCAATGTCATTGTAAGATCCAATTAGTTTTAGTGATTATTTCTCTAGTGGCATGTATGCGTTGCGTCGGTATAGTTGTGCTATATCCCTTACCCCCACACATCTCCATACTTAATGTGACACTCCCGATCAGCAGCAATGAAGCCCTGTTTGGAATTCCGCCAGAAAGGTTGTAATCAGATGAAGAAATTGCATGGGTAAAAAAAACCAAACCAAAAAAAAAAACTGCAAAGCATAGAATATGACATTTTTACCCACCTTTCTGAAAAATAACATTGTGCCGACAAAGGGAAGTGGCCTCGGTCCTGGTATTCCTAACTTTTTGAAGTGTCCATAGGGCCACACACCATACCTAAACATACATATCATTCAATAGAGATATTCTTTTACTTTAAGAGTTTTTTTTTGTGGTTGTTTATTTATACAGTGTGTGTGTGTGTGTGTGTGTGTGTGTGTGTGTGTATAT